ACAACAAGTGTTTCAAACACAAGACCCTCAAATAGGGTAATAGTACAATATGGTTGTAACCCTAAGTTACCCCGTTTGAAAATATACTTACTTTATATAAAAGTCAAGTAGCCGGCTCGTAAGCCCATGTTCATTTAGAAATCACCATTCCCATTCCCCGTGACTATAAGCCACAACAACTCATAGAGTCCCACCCTAATACATGACATTGTATTCTAGAGCTCCGCTCTATCTCACCACCATACAATTCATGTCACTTGGGTCAATTTCCTTACCTTTCATTCTAGAGCTCGGCTCTATCACATCACCATGCACCAAAGCCCAATTCCTAAGCAAACCCATGCCTAGAATTGACATATCAATAAACTACCTCGGGTCATCCTTAAAGACTGCCCATAACTTAAACCTTAGCTTCATACTAAGTCATTTTATACACTTGAAGTATATTCGAGTGCATTGCATACAATTCAATCCTTAGGATCAATTCTATCAGCAATTTCCAATAATCACTAACTAGTATTTCAATACTATTAAGATTATTGTTATCATAAAAATATCCTCATTTTGTAATTCCCTACATATTTATAAGTATGTAGCAGCAACTTAAGTACTCAATCTCAATACATAAATATTCATTTATGTATCCACATAATTCATACATGAGTAAAATGCCTATTTCACAAAATAGTTCATTTATAACTCATTTAATCTCATGTTATTCATACCATCTCAAATCATTTCCAATTTCATTCTTTGTGAACTATATCAATATTTCATCAATATTTAAGCATCATAATCCATGAAAAATTATGATTTAGGCATTTAGGCAATCTCATGCTTAACCTACAAGTTGTAAGCAATTAGATGTCGATCCTCACCTTAATAAAGCTTTAAACTTTTCCTTCTTGATCCAATGGTCAAAGCTTCAGTCAAGGTGGATTAAGAACTGATTCCTTGCTTTAAAATGAGTGTTAAACAGCCTCCTCAAAGTGCTAGCTCAACCCCTAACCGTTGATACAAAAACAGCCCCTAGAATGGGTGTTTTCCGGCGAACTCGTTTCCTAGTTTTTTCCAAGATTTGCTCTAGGTTAGTATCTAACCTTTACATCAATAAAATAACTTTATAAGGATATATTATACACTTGGAGTAGTGTATAATAGTTTCACCAATCGTTCATATCATTTGGAAAATGAAAAGGAAGGTTTTGGGGAGAAAACTCACTTTAGAGGGGCAAATCCGTTTCTGCGAGGTTGTGTTTTCTTCCAATGATTTGGAAGCCTTCCACTATTCCGATTGATGCAAACCAGACCTTGACGGATTCCTCTTCTTGAGAGATTTCTTTTGGAACCTTACACTCCTTATTTGGATTAGTATAGCTCGAGATACGAACCAAACAACATCAATACTCCCACTGCTCGAGTTTACACACAGCAGTTCACTCCAGCTCGATTTTCGTATGATATACTCTCCCCTCTCGCTCAGAAACCACTCAATAAAGAAACTAGACTTCAAAGGCTATCCAAGGACACCTTATTCAAGTTATTTGGACGAGTACAACTCCCATTATGGAGGGAGACAATCAGCACTCCCTTATTGTGAGAAAATAGACTAGGTGGGGCTCCCTCTTTACTTCCTTTGTCAAGTTCAGACCCTAAAGTCAGTTGTGGCCTCCCCCTAACATTTCTTTTCTTGTCTTGCAGGTGGAAGGAAGAGATGGGGCGTAGCATGGTGTTCCCCAATTATTTTGGGAGCAAAATATCAACCAATACCTCCAAAAGTGGAAAGATGGGTCCTATTGATTTATCTTTTGTCAAAAGATGTCTTTTGGTACTCATTCTAATTTATTAGACCAAGTCAACTCCCTACATCATATTATTGATTTCCAATATGTGTAGGATCATCCCAATAATTTACATGATGAATATTATAAAAGAAACAACCTACTCCTATTATTTAGCTCAATAATGTCAAAGATGGGACCATAGGTGTTTGTATTCTTCCCAAATCATCCTATCACTTATTTTGACATTATCATTCATATTATTGGACTACTAGCCGTGTGGGTTACCCTCAAATGGGCTTAGGGCGTCACTCTTGAATACTTACTATTTTTTTAGCACGTTGGCCCAAAATGATGTTTGGGCCGCCCGACCTTCCTTATTTTGTATCGAAAGGTTATGTGTCGTTATTTAGATAATTTGGGCTCTTATATTTATTTAGATGGCCCAGATAAGTATTTGAAGGCCCGTCATTAATATACGAGCTCAAACGGTAAAATAATGAAACACGCATTACACGAATCATTAATCGTTTTGCACTTGTTCGACAATAGGAAGTTTAATACATAATTTTGAATTTTAAATTGAATTTCAAGGACGTTTGGGTGCGGTGTCACATTATTGAGATTTGAAATTCAGCAACAACATGTATTTATCAAATGCAAGTTTTAAAAAACATGAGTTTGGACAGATGCGCGGCCGGATAATGAGTCGGGTGACATTTGTGTGATTAACTGATTATATCTCCAAACAGAAGACATACACGTTTGCAGCATAGGGAAATAATATAAGGCAGTGTAGTAATAGAAGTAGTATCGTAGCATCTCACACTAAGAAATACCACTAGATAAGTTTGGGGGGGGGGGGGGGAAGTGAGTTATAGAATTTACCAAACACCCCGTGAAAAGTATGAAAAGTTTAAAAGGAAATATTTAAAGATAAAAGGAATGATGGGGAAAATATATTTTATAATATAATGGTTATAAATGCAAGTTATACCATGCGACCGTTATTCACATGCGCATGGTATACCGGTCCCAAATATTGTACCGTTTTTCGCTTTTCCCTACACTACGGATGCTTTCTTTCTTTTCCCTCAAGGTTTGTGATTTCTTTTTCTTTAGTTTTCTTTTTTATTTTCTTCAACTCTTTTCTGTTCTCCATCAAAATAGCAAAAATTTAATTGCGATTATACTTATCTTTATCTTTAACTAATTAAATTAAACTGAATTTAAGCATCCGAAAAAATTTGATTAAACCACATAAAATAAGTATATTGTATTTCATAATCATACACTGTTTATTACTTTTTTTTTATCTTCAACTGAAATTACATCCGAATTCATTTTTTCTGTAATACTTCCTCCATTATGATCTTTTTTAATTGCAAGAGTCCACTTTCATTAATATATTTCATTTCTTATTAGTAAAAAAAATCAGATTTTGAAAATTTAAAATGAGATGAAGAATCTAACTATATTTTTTTAAAATTTTAATTTATCATATATTAGTAAATAAAAATAGTCAAAGTTGAATATGTAAATAGTGAAAAAGGTCCAATGTTGCAATTAAAAGAGAACGTAAGTAGTACTTTTTAATATTTATACACTTTTTGTAATTTTTTTATATTCATACATTTTTTGCTATAATATTTTTTATCTCTTTTACAAGTTTTTAGATATTTTCAGACATCGAGTTTGCTTATTTTGATTTCTGGAGTTACATTTGATAATATATGGAATTACATCGTCTTATGCGCAAGTTAGATCTTTTTATGCGCGAGTTATATCTTATTATGCGCGAGTAAAATCTTCTTGTGCGCGAGTTACATCTTCATATGCGTGAGTTACATCTTCATATGCGTGAGTTACATCTCCATATACACAAGTTATATACATTTTCAGATGTGCGAGTTACAATTGGACTTGCCTTAACATGTCCAATGTAATTAACTAATAACATTTGGACTAATTAAATTAAAACTGAATTAAAAACAAAACATATTCACTATTTACGTAAAGTAATTGAGAAATTAGATTTTTCTTTCATTGTTTACATTGAAATCAATATTTTATTTCTTATACAAGTTACAATTCGACTTGCATATAGTTACATTTTTTATCAACTTGGGTTACAATTTACACGCGTGTTACATCACCATGTTGTTGAGATAAAAAAAAGTTGTTGTTCATGTGTGCCTAGCTGTGGGAGCACCATGCTCACCATGGTTGCTCCCACGGTATAGCAACTCGATTATAAAGAAAGGACTATGATCCACCCTATTGTTCCTATATATGGTAATTAATTTTATTCTCTTAATTAGTTTTATTCTCTTAATAAGGGCATCCTCATTGTTAGGATTATTGAGGGATCAAATTAGTGACGTGGTAGATTTTTTAGAGAAGTATCATTGGGAGACATTGATTATTTAATGAGATTATTTGCTAGAATAATCCGGGATCAAAATATGAATCCGGATTATCTTAAGATTATTTGAAAAGTATGTGTAATACCTTAATGTCGGACGGAGAAAAAAGCAGATTATTTGAAGATGATGGTTGGGAGGCATAAATGGATTTTGAGATTATTTAAAAATTAATTATGTAAGAATATTTAAAAGGCAAGAATGCTAGAAAATATGATTTTTACGGGATTAGGAATGGTGATGCTCTAAGCTCAGCTCTATTAATGGGATTTCTTTGAAAGCAAATCAAATCCAATCAATTCCTTATCATGAGAAGCAATTTAACATCGAAAATTATTACCAAGTTTGCTTTCAATATATAAGGATAAAGATGTACGAATGGGGATTTGGGATATATCATAGGTAGATTCTATGGTACCAAAAAAGTACCATACATTTGTCCATATGGAACAATTAGAATGTTGTAGTTGAATTATTTAAATCATTTTTTAAATTGGTACCGGAGTTCTCACTTATATCATAGTGTGATATATATATTTATAGGTATATATTATTATCTCTTATATTGACACATTTGATAATGCCATCAATATTCTTTTATTATTATTATTATTATTATTATTATTATTATTATTATTATTATTATTATTATTATTATTATTATTATTATTATTACTATTACTATTACTATTATTATTACTATTATTATTATTATTATTATTATTATTATTATTATTATTATTATTATTATTATTATTATTATTATTATTATTATTATTATTATTATGCATTGGTAGCACATTTCATTTACTTATTAAAAAATACTAGTATTATATACTTTGTATATATATATTCATTGTAGAATAACACACTAGGCTACCCGCCACATGCATTGATCTAGTGGTGCCGCCCGCGCCCACGGGGGTGGCTACGTCGGTGTTTCCTAGCGCCTCTCCAGTCAGACTTCTTTGTGAAATCGGCTTCTTTAGGAAACTCCCCTTTGGCAAAGTAAAATCCATCAGTCTTCACATTCCAATTACAGTACCTTTCCCCGTCGCACGAAACATCACTGGCGTCGTATACGGTGATGCCCTGGGCCTTTGTGCCCCAACGAAAGTCACACCAAAAAAGAGTAGTCTTCCAGATGTTGGGGCGGAAGTGGATTTCTTTTTTACTATTTTGGGTCATATTCCACACCCCTAAATCGTTGTTTTTAGACCGACAATGCGCAGATACTTCTCCTGTTGAAGGCTGGACATTGTTATTGGGTGGGATCAAATCAAGAATCCTAACAATCTTTCTGTGGCCAGCACTTACAGCTCCTAGCTGCATTGCTATTATAGCAAAAGAGAGTAAAACCATGAAGGAGGAATATAATTTTGGGATTTTTCCAAGAAAACACATTATTATCATATGATTAAGATGTAGTGGGACTGGAGAGGGACTAATCTAATCTGGGCTTATTATATATGAGCTTACCATGAATGTTACATGCACATATACACACACTAATACACATACATACTCCGTACATGATTGAGCATTTTAATTTGTTTCTATATATGCTTATAGGTTGATTTAGCATTTTATCGTACAAGGAAATATAAAATTACATGGATAAACAATACTTACTTCTTTACCTAATTTGAAGAGAAATGGAATTATCCAATATGTTTCATTTAATAATGAAATTTATTAGGGAGATTGCCCTAAACGTGAGTAAATAAATTTTGAAATTCCAAAATAGAGCGTTTATGTGTTTCTTTCCAACACATAAGATGTTACTGTCATGATTGAAAATAATCACATGAATAAAAAAATTGTCATTAATGATAATAATACTGTCATTTTGAATGTCTAGTACTGTAACTATTTGGCAGTATTGATTAAAAGATGACAATAAATTAATATTGCCATATATATTACTCTTATTTTGGGAAGAAAAATATAATAGTTCTGTTTTGAAAAAGCTTCAATAAAGTTGTACCTAATCTCCTTGATTGCTAAACGAGCCAACAGTTCTTTAAAATGATGAGTCAAGACTGAATCCAATTAACTTTAGATGTCAAAATATATACTCCGTATATATTACCTAGACCATCTAGTAAAATTAAAAACAAAATGAGCAAAACATCATTAGCATATTGAAGTTTTGAATAAGAAAAGAAAAGACAAGTCAAGTTGGAATCACTAAAATGGAAATGAATTGGAAAAGATCCGTATTGTATATAGTAGCAAATGTTTCTCATGGAAAGTGCTAGAAGAAAATGTTGGAATATTTCATTTCAATAATTAATATGGGCTAATATTATAATTATTGTATTAGCTATTTATCAATTGGGTTTTTTATTTATGTGGTCAATATTATCTAATTAAGCCCAATAGACTATTAAGATAAATTGTATGGGCCAAATAAATGGGCAGAGGCCCGTGTTGCTTGTTAGGGTTTAATGGGAGTCCTAGCTAGACCAACACACTCTATAAATAGGCTATGGTCCCCAATACATTGAACCACACCAATTCACTTCTCTTCTCCCCATCGGAAGAGAGACTAAGGCCTCGGGTTCAATTGAGGAAGATCCAGACGCCATCTACCTCGTTCCATTCCTCCTGCGGCTTCGCTATGGATCCATGTAGTAATCTTATTATACTCTATTATTCAATATGATGAAGGTCCTGGAATATAGAACAATTCATTTGATTTGTTCTTGTATTGCTTCCGCTATACGTAAAAGTATTTCCAACAATTGGTATCAGAGACTCCTTCATATTGAATTATTTGGAGTATTCATACTTTTCTTTCAATCTCAAACGATTGAATTTCGGATTTTTTTTTTGTCATATGATCTGCCGATTTGAATGAAATTAGGGTAATGCGAAATTACTTTTTTGTAATTCGTTCCTATATATTCATAAGTTTGGCAGTTGATGACTTATTGGAACAATTGAGTTTTGATTGGTATATATTGAATTGGAATCCGTAGGGATATTCCAGATTTTTGATGATTTCTTTTATGTATTTCTTTTATTGTTCGGCCGGCAATTTGTGGATCAAGTAAATTGGAGAGATTTATTTCCAATTTTGATGTTGCTTGAGTCTTGAATTGAAGAGCCGCATGCACGCTAATGATTTTTTTTTTTTTTTAATTCTTGTGATTGAATTACTATGGCTGAGTTGATTTATAGTGACTCATATTTTGAGTTCCTTTTTTATTTAAGGAATTAACTTGATATGGAATCACTTTTGGATTCAGCCGTAATATGTGTGTATCAATTTTTGATATGTTTCATTTTTCCGGTGATTCAATTTTTGAAATTTTATATGGTTTTGGTAATTAAGTACATATTTGTGATTACCAATTTTGGTAATCAAATACTTATAAGGAATTACGGCCAACATCTATCTCATTAGAAATATAATTTTTTTTTTTTTTGATGTGATTTTTTTTTTTTTTAATGGTCGTTGTGATTAACGGCTTAAAATGTGTATAATGTGAGTTTAAAGCTATAAGGCTATGGTTTTATTAGCCATATGCATGCTTACTCAACATGGTTGGAACTTTGTTTATTCTGTTTCAATTTTACCATGTATATACATATGTGACGTGTACAATTGAATTTTGTTGTTATTAGAATTAGTCATACGTGTGTGTATAATTATACGTGATGTTCAATGGAGCTGAGTATGTTATGGCATCATATCACAAGCATGTATATGTATGTTAATTAAACATTACCTTAAATATTATTTCCGTAATTACATATGTATGGTTAGCATATACTAGATGTATGTATATGTTGAATATTAAAATATACCATATTAAAGTTCAAGACATTAATAAGTATTACATTACATACGGATATACATATGTATATATGGTAAGTTTATTTTATAGTATAATTACTCCGTACTATATATATGTTAGGTAAATATATTTGCGTAATTTATGTGTAAGTATGTATATATACTTTATTTTTTTAAGGTACGGAGTATTACATGCGTTACATGATATTTATTTCATGCCAGCACACATATATAAACTTCCATAAGTGTATGCGTATTATATATGCTAAGTGAGTATATGTTAAAATAACATCATAATATCACACGTGTGTTTATATATGTTAAGTACGGTATATATATGATAAGTAAATATGTACCTTATATTTAAATTAGTTTAATGTTAGCATGTCCAATATTTGGGTTGGTTAATCGACAGAACATGCTACCAAAGTAGCTTTTCTTGTTGAAATTAATTAACTCATATATAAAGATGATTGTGTGCTTTCATATTTCATGCGGATAATAATCGGCCCAAAGGAAGGTTATTATTTGGCCGAGATTTAAGTACATTTGTGATAATAAAATTTGTGATAATTATGAGGTTTTCATGTGAATATTAAGTCGGTCCAAAGAAAGATTTAATATTTGACATGATTTTATTATCATTTTTTTTTTATTATTTCACCAAGAGTACCACTTGCAAGTCTAATTTATGTCCAAAGACAAGATTAGATGTTGCGCTAGGTATCTTGTGATGAGATAGCTAATATTTAAACTAATTATCAAGTTAATTGTGATTTAGTTTTTTTTTTATACGTGTATGTGTTAAAATTATATACTTTAAATTAGATTTTTAAAGTAATACGTACGTGCAAATATTAAAATATATTTGTTACAAATATCACACGTATAGCGCAGCTTTTATTTAATCAGTCAAATGTATGTGATGGATTAATGGTTATGTTAAACATGGGTGTGTATACGTTATTGGTATGATATAATTGCATACGATCATATTTAATTATACATATATCCGTTTTTTTAATGGCTAATGCTTTGTGCCTTCGGTTTTTTCGGTTATACATATTATAACATTAAAGAGAGTTATCTCTTGTTCAGTAATAAAGAATGTGAAAATTTTAAGACCTCCCATTTAAATGAAATTGTCTGATAATTTTTTAATTGGATGAACTTAAACCACATGTTGCCAAAGTAACCTCTGTTGGATTGACTAATTCAATTATTTTTTTTATCATAGATGTTTGTATGTGATGATTCATGTGAATTATGATCGGCCCAAAGGAAGACATAATTTGACCGAATTATTTACATACCTGCAATAATAAATATGTGGTGATTATGAGGGAGAATTTAATTTTAATTTTCATTCCATGTGAATAGTGGAATGCCCAAAGGCAACCATTATTTGACAGGATTTATCACCAATATTTGATTAATGCATTGAGAGTACCAATTGCAGTTATTCCTACCAATCCAAAGATTGGGGTTTAATGTTGCACTAGGTATCTTGTTTGGGTCTTTTAATTTCACAAAATTGGTTGTAATTTGGAGCGTATACTAATATATTATTATTTTATTTTAGTTGCTACCGCCAATGCTCCTAATTTTACCACTCAAGTCAATGGAATCCCGATGCTTAATGGAACAAATTTCAAGTCTTGGAAAGAGGCTGTAGAAATTGTTTTAGGATGCATGGATTTAGATCTGGCATTAAGGACGGAGCGACCCACTTCCACTCCAGAAAACTCTAATGAGGCGAAAATTGAGAAGTGGGATCGGTCCAACCGGATGTGTCTAATGATTGTGAAGCGCACCATTCCTGAGGCGTTTCGAGGCTCAATTACGGAGGGTGAGAATGCAAAAAGGTTTCTAATGGAAATTGAGCGATTATTTGCCAAGAATGAAAAGGCTGAGACAAGTAGCCATTTGGCTAAACTTGTCTCTATGAGGTATTCTGGCAAAGGAAACATTCGTGAGTACATTATGGAGATGTCTAATCTCGCGTCAAAACTCAAGGAACTAAAGTTAGAGCTACCTGAGGATTTGCTCGTTCACTTGGTTTTGATCTCTCTTCCGGCCTACTTTGGGCAATTCATAGTGAGCTATAACACTCAAAAGGACAAATGGTCCCTGAATGAGCTTATATCTCATTGTGTGCAAGAGGAAGAGAGGCTGCAGAGAGATAAGACAGAGAGTGCTCATTTTGCTTCAACATCTCACAATAAGAAGAGAAAGAAGCATGTGGTTGGTGCGGAAAATTCTTCAAAGAAGAAGGCGAAGAAACAAGGTGAGGCATTTGCTTGTTTTTTCTGCAAGAAATCTGGACACACAAAAAGGGAGTGTTCTAAGTACGCCGCTTGGCGTGTGAAGAAGGGTAAACTTCTCAATTTTGCTTGTTCTAAAATTAATTGAGTTTTGTTACCTAAAGACACGTGGGTAGATTTTGGCACTACTACTCACATAAGTATGTCTATGCAGGTTTGCCTGTGGAGTCGTCCACCAAATGATGCTGAAAAGTATATTTATGTTGGTGATGACTGATGACAATAAAGTGAAGTTCAAGCTAGAAGAATTTTTGAATTATCTTATAAGGACTTGTTTTTTTTTTTGAATTTTAATTGAGACATTTTGTTACACCGTCTATTAGGCGGTATTTTAATTAGTATTTCTATGTTGGACAAATAAGGTTCCTATTGTTCCTTCGGAAATAATAAAGTAAGTCTCTTTTATAATTCAGATATTATTAGTTATGAGTCTTTACTAAGATAACCCTTATATGCTTGAAGAGTTTGGTCATTTTATGGCATAAGCTAAAGTAAGAGATTCAAACCCACTAACTAAGGATAAACACCTAAAGTCTTTCATGAGCATTCAACTCTTATGAGTGTGGTTGCCAAAGGTTGTTTAGTTGAGTGGGAGTTAATCTTTTATAATTTATTGATACAAAATTTAAAGTTTCTGCAGAAATAAAGTTTATTAGCTTTATAGCTAACATTTTTTTTTGTATCTAGTTGAGTGTAATATTTAATTTACACTTAAGAGATCTAAGGTTAATCTCAATAAAGACTAAAGTTGGACCAGTTGAAAATAGGCATGATGGAGAACACTTCACATGTAATTTTTCATGCTGCTCACCCATACAGATCTATGTCATCAATTGTATTTTTTATGGTGGTTGTTGTGGTTTAGTCATGAATTAACAATATGACAAAAGCCGCAGTAATTCCATTATTAATACATGAGGTGGACCAGATTGACTAAGTTCAAGTCTAAAGATAAATAGCATACTAAGGCGCGCCTAAAGAAATATAATTACAATATGTAGCCCAAGTGGGAGATTGTTGGAATATTTCATTTCAATAATTAATATGGGCTAATATTATAATTATTGTATTAGCTATTTATCAATTGGGTTTTTTATTTATGTGGTCAATATTATCTAATTAAGCCCAATAGACTATTAAGATAAATTGTATGGGCCAAATAAATGGGCAGAGGCCCGTGTTGCTTGTTAGGGTTTAATGGGAGCCCTAGCTAGACCAACACACTCTATAAATAGGCTATGGTCCCCAATACATTGAACCACACCAATTCACTTCTCTTCTCCCCATCGGAAGAGAGACTAAGGCCTCGGGTTCAATTGAGGAAGATCCAGACGCCATCTACCTCGTTCCATTCCTCCTGCGGCTTCGCTATGGATCCAGGTAGTAATCTTATTATACTCTATTATTCAATATGATGAAGGTCCTGGAATATAGAACAATTCATTTGATTTGTTCTTGTATTGCTTCCGCTATACGTAAAAGTATTTCCAACAGAAAAACATCTCGAATATGAAATTTTAGTACTTTACATGCACATTTAGAGCATCTACAATGGTTAGCTAAATATGTGGTAGCTTTGCTTGCCACATCATTTTTTTCTAGCTAATCCATGTGTTAGTCCAATGGTTAGCCATATTGCTTATATCTTAAATAGGTTCCACAAATCAATCAATGAATTGATTTATTAATTTAATATTTTGTTAAAATATTTTCAAATCTATTAAAAAGTTGAATTGACAAGGAAACGTAACCAAACTTTTAACAAATGAATCAAGTCGGTCGTCAACTATGATTTTGACCAAACATTAATCTAGCGCCAAACATTAAGAACCCGTTTGGTAACACTGAAATCAGTTGAATCGCCTAATTCTGCTGAAATGTATGAAGTTCTAGCTGAAGTGGCTGTATTGGCTGATTCTTCTTTTTTATGAAAAAGTTATATTTAAAATATATTTTATTAAAAAATTAAAGAAAAAATAATATGAAAAATAGCTAAATGGTCATCTAGAGTAACTTCAACCAATACAACCAGAAAAGTATCTCCAACTTTACTTTTTCTTATAATTACGCAATTCAGCACGTGAAATCAAAAATTACGTGTTTCATTAAAAAGTTCGCTGATAAGCCTGATAAGCCGAAAACAGAGTCATCAAACGGGCTCTAAGACAGCAAGGTTAAAAATGCAAATTATTAAAATTAGTACAATAACATGTATTTTGTTAAGTAAAAGAATAAGGAATATCAAATTTGACAACACATACATACAGAAAAATATCAACTTTTGCTTAAATATTTCATGAGTAATACTTGTTGTATGGATTTTCATAGTCCTTCATTTGAAGACCTTACACATGAAAAATAAGAGTACGTAATGGGCAGTGGCAAAAGAGATGGAGTAGGCGTTGAGAAAATATTGTATAACTAAATTTTCAAAGCATTATCTACATATAATAACGGTATGAGATTAAAATTACTTTTAATTAATTTAATATATCAATTATAAATAAATTAAATATATTTGGTAATTACCATTTTAAATCAAGTTTATCTCCTTTCTAGCAATTAGTTTGTTTTGGCTAATTTGCTTGCCCAAGCTAGAAGGATAGATGCACTCCAATGGTAGGCAAGTAGCTTGAAAATTGCAAGCAAGTCCCTAGAAGAAACAATTGGAGATGCTCTTATACTATAAAGTTAATGGTCACACCCTTATACTCTCAAATGTATCATTCTTACATGTACAAGACAACTTTTTTCCATTTGAACTCATCACACCTTTGCACAAAATAGTCCATTATTTCATTTGTGCTAAGAAATGGTGGAAATGCTCTTTCCCTAGTAGTGTGGTGTTTTTCAACAAAAGCATATCACCAGCATATGCATATCCTTGTGCACATGTAAGAAATATATTCATTCAAATTTCCACATTCATAGAGTTGCATGGTGCCGCGTCCACGTGGTTTCGTTGTTCAAACTCACATCGTCCACCGACCATGGTGTAATCTAGCATCCTAATTCATATATGAATATGAATGCTCCTAATTCAGATATGAATTCAAATATAGATGGGAATTGGAAGAGAGTCAAAGAATAATTTTTTTTTATATACTCTTATATAACTAAAAGACCTCTAGTAACTAGTAAGAAGAGTCGCATGCATAACTATAGTGGGGGTTAAATGCATTGCAAACTTTAAACTTGTGCTTTAAAAAATTAGTACAATAAGATTACTTAAATGTAAATTTTTATAGTGATTTGCTCGAAGTTATTCCATTTAATATTGGTGAAATTTACAAGAATAATTCATAGTTTTAGGGATTCTATAATAATAACCCATACTAGAAATATCAATAAATATAATCTATACTAGCAATAGTGTCAACAACAAAAAATTTGGAGTGAATTCAAACTAATGCACAATCAAATTTACTATATAAATAAATGACAATTTAAACTTAATACAAATGTTTGTTTGATTGGTTATTTATTAGAATTGAAGTAATAACATTTCTTGCCAATGGATTAACATTTTTTGCTATATATACAGGTGTGATGCCAAAGTATTATTTATTTTTAAGATGAAAACGTCTCAAAAAGATTTAGGGAGATAATTACCCTAAGTATGACTAAAACTCAATGAGTTTCTCAATCTATGACCTAACCAGATTTTTTCTCAAAATAATATTATAATTCATAATATTTAGGAAACATTGATAGTAATAATCCCAACTATTGGCGGTTCGCTCAAAATAATCCCAACTATCGATTATTTCAGAATAATCCCAACTTTAGGGACCTTCCGCCAATAGTGGTCCCTATAAATAAATTCATGTTTTTTCTAAAGTGGATGAGAAGAGATATAACAAGTAATCCCTATAAACAATCTCAACTTTTGATTTTTATGCTTAATTTCTATTTAAAATTCACTTATTATGGGAGGTAATATCCGGTCATGGACCATTATTGGCGGACGGTCCATATAGTTGGGATTATTAAAAGATAATCAATAGTTGGGATTATTGTCAGCGGACCGACAATAGTTGGAATTATTATTTTCAATTTTTCCTAATATTTAATTAAAATTCGTAATTAATAAATAATAATTATTTTTTATGGACGAATATACCCTTTAGTTTATACCTATAAAACCCTAATCTCCTACCCATTTTCTACAACCCTAACTACACCCTCTCACGTATAACCTTCGCCACTCACCCACGCAGCAGCCGCCGTCGAGCCTCTGCCCGCCTTCTAGCTGCCAGCCATCGTCCACTGCCGCCGCCGCCTTCCAAAGATCAATATCTAGCCTGGGAGCACAATCACCCGACCTGGGTGTCAAGGCGCCGCCCGCCGGCCAGCGTCCAGCACAAGAAGATGCTCAGTTTCCCAATACTGATTTCGCTAAGAGAAAAGCTCGCTCTTATAAGGCGGCTGTCGTCCATCACTTCTTCTTCTTTTCTTTTTCGATCGCTTATCCCTACTGCTGCCCCTCCTATTCTTTTCAATCGTGACTGCAGAGCGTCGATGGAGAGTCGTTTACGACAGATAGGCTGGTCTTGAAGATGGAATTTGAAAGCCACTTCATAATTAGAGAACTTTGGGAAAAATTGGAATACGTTGAATATGGGAATGCATTGAGAATTGGAATGGTATTAGAGAACAGCGGCTTGAGATGCGTTGAAAAGGGTTCTTCTTAATTTTCTATTTTTGAAATTAAAGTTTGTTTGTTCCTCAAAAAAGAAATTAAAGTTTGTTGAATTTAGGGTTTGTGGGCATTAAACATGGGCATTGAGCATTAGCAGTGCATATGACAATAAGTCTTGAATATGGCAGTAAATATGACAATAAATAATACTACTATTATGTATTGTACATGACAGTGAATTGAATGCATTGCGTAAGTTTGTTGTCCAGTGATTATTAGTGCTGGACTCGGGCCGGTTCGGGCCCGGTTCGGGCCTGGGCTCGGCCGGGCATCGGGCCAGGAAAGGGGAGGCCCGAGCCCGAACCGCCGGTGGCCGGTTCCGGTTCTGGGCCAAACCGGGCCGGGCCGGGCCAAACTGGTCCAATTAATTTTTTTTTTTGGTTCTCATGTTTAATCCCCTACCCCTCAACCCCAAACCACCCCAAACCACCTCAAATGGCCCAAAACACCTATTCCAACCCAAGACTTAAAAAAATTTTCAAAAAAAAAAAAAAAAAAAATTAAAATCCGGCCCAGACCGGCCGGGCTGGTTCACCATATGGAAGGCCCGGGCCCGGAACCGGGAACCACCGGGCCGGTTCGACCCGAACCGCCGGTGGACCGGGCCACCGGGCCGGGCCGGTTGCTACAGTGGCCGGGCCGGGCCGGTTCCGGGTCGGGCCGCCCGGCCCGAGTCCAGGCCTAGTGATTATGATCAGTAGTGCAGTAACACACATCGGTAATACCGCCATTAAATGAAATATACTTAATTGGACGTAAACTAATTGAATTATTAAATCTAAAAAATAAAAATAAAAAAAATTAAAAATAAAAACTAAAAAAATTGTAAGTGAATGAGAAGAGAATTAACTTTGACTGAAGTGCATTGATTATTACCGAAAGTGCAGTAATATCACGCAGTAATGTTGTGCAGTAACGGCAATGTAATGTGCAACAATTTTAATTGGAGGAAATCAGTGCAAAATGCACATATTTTACGTAAGGGTATTTTTGTCATTCAATATTTAAATACAAACAAAATTTTCTTGTGTTTTGGATTTTTGGTCATACAATTGTCTAAAAACTAAGTTAGTCATATTTGGGGAAACTCAATGAGTTTTAGTCATATTCTAGAAAATTTCCCATATTATAATACATGATATCATGATGACATAATTTTATGACACAAATCTGTTAACAATCAGTGACACTAAATTTAGTGTTACTTGCCGCCATTTTCATTGACACTTTTTTAGTATCATTAAATTTGGAAAAATTGATAGTAATAATCTCAACTATTGACGATCGACACATAATAATCCCAACTATCGATGATTTCACAATAATCCCAACTTTAGGGACCTTCCGCCAATAATGGTCCGGCGTGACCGACTATAAATAAATTCATGGGAAAATGGAAACTAATAATCCAACCTTTTAGCGATCTTCTTACAATAGTCCCACCTTTGTGTTATTCATGAATAATCCAACCTTTGTACATCATCTTCATTCACTGGTCCCTGACCGGTTGATGACATGCTGTTCTAAGTTATTTTCTTATCTTTGCAAACTATTATACGATAAATATCACCTTTCAAAAAGATAATATTTTGCAAAGATAAGAAAATAACTTGGAATTGCAAGTCATTAACCGTTCAGGGACTAGAGAATGAAGATGTGATGCAAAGGTTGGATTATTCTTGAATAACGAAAAGGTGGGACTATTGTAAGAAGACTGCTAAAAGGTTGGATTATTTGTTTCCATTTTCCCTAAATTCATATAGTTTGCAAAGTGGATGATAAGAGTTATAGCAGGTAATCCCTATAAATAATCCTAACTTTTAATTTTTACTCTTAATTTCTATTTAAAATTCACATGTTATAACATGTAATATCCGGTCATGGATCATTATTGACGGAGGGTCCATATATTTGGGATTATACAAAAATAATCAATAATTGGGATTATTGTTAGCGAACCGGCAATAGTTGAGATTACTATTTTCAATTTTTCCTTAAAAAATTTAATGATACTAATTTAGTATCAGCGTAAGCCATTTTTCTAGTATTCTAATAAAAAACATAGTTCAAACTTTACGAGAAAATAAAGTTATAATAAAAATATTACAAAAATAAAACTAATTTACAAAAGTATGACTAATAATTGTTAAAGTAGTATAATATGATGTCATGATCACTCAATTGTAAAGACTGAACATAAATTTTTATGGTTAATGTTATTACAATAAAATTGTAAATTAAAATTGTGAGTTTGATCATAAATACTCCCTCCGGTTCTTATTTAACTTTACACTTTCCTTTTTGAGCAGTCTCATATTAAACTTTACACTTCCTTATTTGAAAACAAATCTACGCCAAACAATGCAAAACAGTGCCAAATTAGGGCAAAACAGTGTAACATACAGTAAAATTCACCCCTCAATAAATTTGTTTCCTTAATTGTATGAAGTCAAAGTGTAAACTTAAATAAGAATAGGAGGGGGTATGTAAGAAAATCGTTTACAAAAATGTGATTGATTAAGTATATTTATCATTTTTATAATAGTAATTCTAATTATACTACCGAATAACTTGTATTCAATTTTTAGTTTGGTGATTGGTTAACTCTAGTCGTATTTTGTTTCAAACTTTCAATAATGTCTTCTTCTTTTTTGGAAAACTTTCAATAATAATGTCTAAAAACTCTATTTTTAGTCCTAAAATCCATTAATTTTCTTTTATGTCACATCACCCAACACACTTACACACCTATATTGTTTGCACCACTTTACCGGTGGGCGTAGCTCAACTGGTAGCGAGGGAGTGCCACAAGAGTTAGGTCTCGATTTCAAATCCCGACAACTGTGATGAGGGGTTACTATGCTGAAAAATGCATAGAGCTTCTGAAAGTACCCGGGGACAGAGCTCCACTCTCTATCTGTCAGATTATAGTCCAATTTACACCCTTCTCATGCTTATTTTTTGTTTTGTTTTGTTTTGTTTGCGCCACTTTTGACGAATACCTGACAGCCAGATAGAAGAGAAGTTGAGAGGATGCGTGTGAGTGCGAGACCTGTCATAGACTCTGAAGCACTCATCATTCTCGCTGATACTTTCCTCTTTCCTGAGTTTCCTCACTTTCCTCTCCCAATTTTATGCAATAATGGTCTGATTCCTGGTGGTTACCGGAGACAACTCCTCATCCACCCGCCTCTCGCTTCTGATCCGGTAAGTTCACCACTTTTACCTTTCGTCTCCCCATTTCCTGCCTTAATTTCACACTCTGCTTATAGATCAGCTCTTGTTATCATTTCCTGCAGTACATATTTTGGCTTTGCATGCTACCAATTATTTGCGCGTTCTGTAACAGCCTGCCCCGTTCCTTTTTGCTTTTACTAAGTATGATCAGTTTTCACTTGTTTTCTGATCTGTGTGTAAATCTTCTTTGTGTTCTGACTTGTCGCTGATATGCTAGCTAGTTATATACCCGGCCTTTGTATATGTTGCATACTGTCTGCTTCAAGCTTCATCTTACAGTATATTTCACTTTCTTGACAACCTTTTTTTTAACTCCAGGACAATGCTAAAGAAACAGAACTTGGTATATGTTGCATACTGTGTATATTTTACTTCAAGCTTCATCTTAGAGTACTCTAGGGGTTCCTTTGGGGTCCGTTTGGAAACTGGGTAGTTTCGATACTTTACTTTTGTGCTTATCTTAAACATCATTACATATTACTCCGTAGTAATTTACTTTTATGAAAATCATTATTAATAGAAAATAAAAAAGTGGATGATTTATGAATTTGTATAAGATAACATCTTAAGTAAAAATACATTGATTGTAAAACAGGATATTACAACAATTCTCCAATGACATAAATAAGTTCAAAATCACTTGATAAAATGTTATTGATTATGTTGTATACTGGTTATTTTCCATTTGTGATACCAATAGCCAATCTTGGTATCAAATCTAATACGCATCAATATTTTATCTAGATTTTGGAATAGTACACCGATTTGAATTGATTATAAAATTTACCAATACAATGGATTAGAGTACTCACATATTTCTGTAGTATCTGTTTTTTCATCATTTCGGAGATCTACCGGTTTTTAGTATTTCCTTAATATTAATCACTCTCGATATTTTAATTAAACATTTTTTTCAATCGATAATATATTAATATATTAATATCCATTGGTATTTTTGTGTTTAAGTGTATTTTTTCGATTTTATTGTATTTCTCGTCTACCTGAAATTGAAGAGGAGAATATCAGTCCCCCCCTGTATGGATCTGTGTTAGGTGAAAAAAACAGAAACGTCAGGAATTCTTGGTTGGTATCAGAGGTTTTTTCATCATTGATCATAATACATGAGATATGAAGGCTTTTGCTTTATGTATAAAAGGCTTACAGGTTTGGTGTTTTGGGTGTAATCATAAATTCAATGAGTGGATGCAACATGTGTTTGTACTTACCACCTCTTCATGTCAGTTGTGGCATGTACCTTTTCTCCATTAGCAACATTCTGTCTGTGTGTTGCCAAACAAATGTAAAGATGGGAGTGGTTCATCTTTCATCTAGTTTGTTTTAATTTATCCTTGTGACTTTGTTTTCAATTTATTAACATTCCTTATAAGCTAAATTGCAGATTATGTTTTCTCCAGGGCTGATCTACCATGGAAGATTACGAGTCAGTTGAGACACTCATGCATTCAACTAGCTCAAAGATACAGCATCTTCAGAAAGCATTTGCTGAGCTTGAAAGTCACCGTGCAATTACTCTCAACATGAAGTGGAAACAATTAGAAGAACATTTTCACGGGCTTGAAAAGACTTTGAAAAGGCGTTTCACTGAATTGGAAGACCAAGAGAAGGAGTTTGAAACAAAAATAGCTCAAGCCAAGGATATGGTAGAGAAACGTGAAGCAGCAGTTGTGGCTAAAGAGAGAGCTTCACTAGAAAAGCTCCAAGAGAAAAGAGATGCTGCAGTTTCTTCCATTTCTGTTGCTCTAAAAAGGCGTTGGGAGCCATTCTCTTTGGAACCTACTTTTAATATTGAGGATGACAATGAGTCATCTGTAATGAAGGTCAATAATATCGATGTCACAGAGAGTAACACTGATGAGGATAGTGGAAAGTATTATGATAACAGAAACATGGAGGTTAAGTCTTATCCAGAGTTAGTTAATTTATGTCAAAAGATGGATTCAGATGGCATTCACAAATTTATATCAGACAATCGCAAGGACTTAACTTCTGTGAGAGAGGAGATACCACTTGCTTTGGAGGCTGCTTCTGATCCAGCATCTTTGGTTTTGGACTCGCTCAACGGTTTTTACAACTCAGAAATAATAAATTCAGATGCTAAAAAAGATGCTAACCTTTTAGGTATCCGTCGAACATGTATAATGTTAATGGAGTGCCTTAGCATTTTACTGTCAAACATAAAAGTGGAGTATATTCCAAACATAATATCTGAAAGTGTTAAGATTCGAGCAAAAGCTATTGCTGAAGACTGGAAAACAAAGTTGGATGGTTTGGATTTTGTTGTCAATCACGGGAACTCCTTGGAGGCTCATGCATTCTTACAACTTCTAGCTACTTTTGATATTAGCTCTTGTTTTGACATGGGTGGTTTAACCAAATTGATACCAATGGTCTGCCGTCGTCGTCAAATAGCTGACCTATGCCGGTCTCTTGGACTCTCAGATAAAATGCCAGGTTGGTCCTAACATATTGTTGTTCAGTAGTTGCAAGAACTCCCCAATGATCAAAATTATTCTTCAGATATGCTTTCTTTTCTTTTTTTCACTCTTTTTTTAAATATAAAGAGTATTAGGGCATTTAGGTATTAACCAGTGATACCAGCGAATCGTCTCTTTGAGGTTTCCCAAAATTCGCTGATGGTCCATTTTGAAACATATTGAGGTGAATTTTTAGAATGTTTTCGTAATAATATTTATTTATTTATTTATTTATTTTTTTGCGTTTTCCTTATAATAATGTATCAATGTTAACACTTAACAGTAATAACGTCAACAATGGCACACAGTTCTTCTACATCATACCATTTATAAACATGTACCCACTTATTTACATGAAATCTTTTAAATGAATGAGCACTAAGACTCTAATTAGTTGGGGGCTCAGATTGAAGGGGAGGAAAGTGGAAGGCTATTTAAATCCCCTATATTCTCCATTCTACCTCCTCTGTCCAGATCCTAGTATTTTGGAGGAGTAACCGCTGAGGAAAAATATTAAAAGATCAATGGACAAAATTAGCTCCTCCAGATTTCTGTAAGCCCTAAATTTTAAATGTATCAGGACTTCCTCGCTTTCTTTCTTCTCAGCTCCCCTTGATGCATAGTTCTACTGGTGCTATTTTTATTCGTTCTTTGGTTTGTTAAGAACACACAAGCTCTTCTTCGCTCAATTCTTTGAGCTTTTCCATACACACATATAATTGATTGAACCAATTTCACAATGGTGCGAGTTAGCTTTGGTTTTATATATGAAGTATGTTTTTATTGTTGTAATACTTCGTATATAGTATAAATGGCTGCATGGCATTTCATATAGTGTATTACGTGGGTTTTGAAATAATTTTAATCAATAACTAATAACTTGTCACAGGGACAGAAGTGTTTCATTTTTTTCATAAACTGCGGGAATAGTTAATAGCATATGGTTGATCCATCAGTTCTATTTACTTTCCTAAATAAGGTGTATTAGCAAGGGCAAACTAGGAAACGAAAAGTATTACACTTTTCTCTCTTTTCCTCCCAACCATACTCAAGAGGTAGTGAAAATCCTCCCTTCTCCTTCCCTTCCCAACTCCCTTACTCTTTCTTTGAACCAGAAAAGGGAAAAAGGTCCAAGTTTTTTAGGATGATGGTATAACTCAGGACAAAAATCACAACATTGCTGCATTCTGCTCACTTTACAGGTGTTATTAATGTGTTGGTAAATATTGGAAGGCAAGTAGATGCAGTAAATCTGGCTTGTGCCTTTGAGCTGACAGAGCAGTTTCCACCTGCTCCTCTACTGAAATCTTACTTGAATGAGGCAAGCAAGGTTCCTTCTCCTGGAAAATCGGGGAATGCCGCACCCACCGCACAGGTTTGATCATTTGCAAATTCCACCTTTTTTTGGTAATTTGGGCCTAGTTATTTAACTCGGTTTTTCCAAAATTCCATTATTCTGTATATAACCACAAAGAGATTGGCTTTTTTGGAGATTAGACTCATTAGAGATGATATAGATTTTTTGGAGATAGGTAATCAGCAAGAAGAGAATAAACAATAGGTTGTTAGGAAACTTTTAAGAAATTGGGATCTCTTAAGTTCTAATACATGTGAGAATTAGGAAAGGCAATTAATTACAACTTGGCCTGACTTGACTGGATGTCTGGACTGCGATACAGATGCATACACAACATCTAAACTGTCATAGTATACCTAACAAAAAAATTGGAAATGCAAATAAATTCCACAAGTTTTGTGGACTTCATTAGTATAAACATCTAAACAGTCATATTATACCTAACAAAAGGCACTAATCTTTTATATAATACGTGTTTTGAAAAAATATGTTAAATTGATTACTTCGCTTTGACCCCCCACACCCATGGCCCCACACAAACATTTTCTTTGCTTCAAGATTTCCCATCGAATTTCCTCCCTATTATCTTTCTCTAGCATTTACCAAGTTCCAAATGCCCCATTAATGGTTAGTACATTTATCTGAAAGCTCATATTTTCCGTTCGTTCCAGAACGATATAAATGAGAAGGAGTTGAGTGCCCTGAAGGCTGTAATTAAATGCATTGAGGATCACAAGCTTGAGGAGCAATATTCTGTGGATGCACTCCAAAAACGAGTCGTCGAGATGGAGAGAGCAAAGGCAGACAAGAAAAGGGCAACTGAAGTTCCCAAACCCCAACCCAAAAGACCCCGTGGTAATTGTGCCCGAGTCGCTAACATTTCCACGGACAAGAACTTTTATGCTAGAACAACTGACAGGTACCCACAGTACGTGTATGAGAGACAGTATGCCTACACTGGACCAGCTGAGGCCCATATACCTGCATTCGTAGGCAATCCTTACAATCTCACTGGTCCTGGCAACTTCTTTGCAAATGGCTACCATTATCAGGCAGCATACCTGCACTAGTTACTACAGCGCCAAGCAGGGTTACCTGGTTACCATCTACTAGTCCTTAGTCCTTTAACCCTCTTTGTGTGCTTGCTTAATTTGAACCATATGAACGATTTCACTACTGAAAAATCCCGACTTGTTAATTTCCAGCCCTCTGTAAAAGCTAATGTTGTAATGCTTTACTATGCACCATGCTTCATGTTTATCTCTCCATAATTTGACTCTCGGCTCACTGTGTTCTTTCTGCTCTTTTGTGACTCTTGAGATAATGACGTCAAATGCAAAACTTAACCAGACTTTTCATGCTACTAATAGACTTGAAATACAATTAGACATGGATATGCTATTTATTGAAACTGATTGTTCAATAAAAAGATTTGGCCTAATCCGACACAAAAAATGTTCGAAGAGTAATAATGATTTATTATTCGAACATTATGGTGTTATGAAATTGATGATTCGGTCATTCAAGTATAACACTTCTGTCTTGAATTTGAACATAACACATAAATTAATAGATAAAATCACTAGAATGATTTGTGTAATTAAAGGATTCAATCCATTTTATTGAGCCACAAAATAAGCACGAAGAATGTTAGTTGGCTTGAATTAAATTCCGAGGATGAATATGGTCTAAATCTGCAAATTATAATGTGGGATCTGTTCACTTTCCACAAACTACTCTCCTCACAAAATGACATAATTTTAAGTCTATAAAAAACCCCTCTGAATTTGGGGAAAAACCTTCGTAGTATTTTATTGATAAAACTAAAAAAATATGAAAAAATAGCTAAACGATCGTTTACCATAATTAAAAGTTACATGTTTGGTGAAATATGTTGATAAGCCGAAAATAGTGATTATTGAATTGGGTTTTTAAGTTTTAATTTCCCACACTAAATTAAATTATATACCGTGATAATTAAAATAAATAAGGTTTTGCAAAAAAATTAAATCATATACCGATATCAATTTAAGTCTTTTTCTTCCAAAAAAAACGGGAAAAGGGACAAATAAACCCTCGAACTAACAAAAAAGTGCAAATCACCCCTTATATAGGAGGCTCTGTCCGGCCGTCGTCATATGAGGAGGTTCCCGATGGAATTTTTTGATGAAATGTTTTGAACATCTTCTTCATTAAGTCTAGTTTCGCCATACCAAATTTCAGATAAAAATTCAATCCGGAAGGCAGTCAAATGAATTTTGGCGAAATTCATATCAATAATCCATACTTTTAGCAGTTCTACAATAATAATCCCTACCGAAGTTGTCTATATAAATAATTCATACTCGTAAACGCGTCTACATAGATAGATTAGATTAATCTTTTTGATATTTAATATATAAGGATACAATATTAACTTTGTTCACCATTGTCATACCTGTGAGTTTAGTATTTTTTATATCATTACTAAAATTATTTTCTTGAAGGCTAATAATCTATCTATGAAGTTTTAATCTATCTATATAGACACATTTAAGAGTTTGGGTTATTTGTATTGACTTTTTCAGTAGAGATGATTATTGTAGAACTACTAAAAGTATGGATTATTGGTATGAATTTCATCATAAATTTTTGAAGATAACTGCGCAGTTAAACAACGCAGTATATTTCAGAAAATCATTTGATTACCTTCCCAGTTTTATTTTTAGATGAAATCTGGCATGAATAAACTAGATTTAATGGAGAACAATTTCATCAAACAAACAAACTAAATTTCGAAACAAACTCAAACAAAAAACGAGCGAATGCAACTGTGCAAGTTCTGTCCAGTTGTGTAGCTCACAAATTTGTGGAGATCTCTCTGGTGTCAATTTCCCTCCAAAAACTTGCACAACCGCCTTCTTTTGCCCAGCTTTGTTTGCCAGCAAAATTTCATGTAGAAATGATAATCGACGAAATATCATCGCAGAATCCCCGGCGATTCGGCCACGATGATCCTCATTCTCACATATGCTCTCAAATGGAGTTGTCAATCAAGGAAATTGAACGGCACTCGCCGGGAAATCCATTGCCGGGGACCCTCTCCGCGGAGCTTCAGCGCTGCATTGTTCAACTATCTCCGCTCGTACCGCTTCCTAACTCAACCAAGCTCCAGATATGGAAACTCAGCTACCGCCTCTGGAACGCCTGCGTCGACCTCTCTAATGCCGCAGGAGTCAAATCCTCCGCCTACAAACTGAATGAAGAACACGCGAAACTACGGCAAGTCTCCGCTGACCTACTTTTCCTCGCTGGAGATGTATCTGGTATTCCTTCACCGGCTTTTAAAACCGCCTCCTTCTTCTACAAGACCGGCCTTATTTGGCACGAGCTCAGGAAGTACGACCTCGCTAGCAATTGCTTTGAGAAGGCTACGGATCTAACATCAAAAGTCGAAATCAGTTCGGTTTCAGATGGCGAAGAAAAAAAGCTTTTATTAGACATCAATATTGCTCGATCCCGAACAGCTTGGGAGGTCGCTGATCGGAATTTATGCATCACTTTATTAAATCGTTCGAAGAACCTACTCTTTGGTGTCGCAGAGAACTACAGAGATTTAGCAAACCAGTATTTGATATTTGCAAGGACACTACTTGCAAAAAACGAAGTTTCAGGAGTGAATGAAGAATCAAAATTGATGAATGAAGCACTAGAGTTATGTGAGAAGGGATTGAAAATAGTTAAAAAGAAGGATGAGACATTAGCTTTGAAGGATCTGAAGTCAAAGACACTTAGATTTATGGCAGCATCTCATTTGCAGAGAGATGAATTTGAGAATGCATTGAGGTGTGTGAAGTTTTTGAGAAGTGGCGAGAGGGATGAGCACCCTAGTCTCAGTGTGCTGGCCATGAAGGCTTGGTTAGGGTTGGGCAGGTTCGGAGAAGCAGAGAAGGAGCTAAGGGGGATGGTGTTGGATAATGGTATTCCAGAGGGGATTTGGATTTCAGCAGTAGAGTCATATTTCCAAGCTGTGGGGGCTGCAGGAGCTGAAACAACGAAGGGCGTATTTTTGGGACTTCTAGGAAGGTGTCATGTCAGTGCCGGTGCTGCACTGAGGATTGTTAGTAAGGTGATTGGAGACGGCGGATATGATGGAAAGGATGCAAGAGTGAGGGCAAAGGTGGTGGCTGAGCTGGCATCTGATGACAGGGTGGTGGAACTCTTCTCTGGAGAGCCATCTGCCAAGGAGAGGACCGCCATGCATGCTATTCTTTGGAACTGGTAAATTTACGGATATGGACATTTGTTTGAATGTTTTAGTGTCGTTTTGGTAAGAGTTGTTTGGATGAAATCCGCTGCACTTTTAGAATTGAATAATGTTCTTTGATATCCGTTTCAGTAGAAAGCTATAAAATTTTCTAGAACCTATCCAATTATGGAGGGATCCCAACCAAAAGCTACTTATTCTGATTACTTTGTTGATAAGTAGAATAAGACAACTAATTTATGTCACAAATGGGGCCTTACCTATCTTGCATTGCTATTGTCATGAGCAGAACGCAGCATTCTATGGTAGCTTTACAGTATTCTACATCTTTGAAAATGGTAAGTTTGAAAGAAGTTAGTAGATTAATCAGGACCGAAAGAACCAATTCCTCCAGTCCTTGCTTCAGTATTCAAGAATAATGTGATTTAGATAAGTTGTCGCCACTGCTTTGTCTTTTTCCTGGAAACATTTGAATATCATACTCTTCCAAGTTCAACCAGAGAGTATCTGGTAGAGAGTTTTGTTCCTTTTAGATCTTTTATTTGTGCATAACCATACAAGCTACCATACTTCCCAAACAAGATAAACAACCAATATCAGTGCTCCTATAAAGATGAGGCTTATTCAATTGTTTAAATTATTAAATCTGTAGTGCTGCTGAACATTTCCGTTCAAAAGATTACCAGACCAGCGCAGATATTTTTGAGAAAGCTATGCTTTATGTTCCTTATGATATGGAGAGTAGAACTCTCAGGGCAAATGGCTATAGAGTTTTGTGCCTCTGTCATCTTGGCCTCTCGCAGCTAGATAGAGCTGAAGAGTACATTAATGAGGCTGAAAAGGTATGTTTAAAATTACTGAAAAAGAAAAGTTTCTGCTTTCTCTAGTTTTGATCTACTAATACTTCATACAATTTGCAGCTTGAACCAACTATAGCCTCAGCCTTCCTCAAGGTGATCTTTCATCGATCTCTCACTTGTCAAGGAGTGCCTAGTTTAAAATCTGTTTAGATCTTTACACGTATCCTGAATCTTGCAGTTTAAGGTGTACCTACAGAAAAAAGACAACACTGCTGCCACTTCCCAGGTTAAAGCAATGTTGAGTTGCCTAGATTTCACTACTGACTTTCTCTTGCTCGCGGCTCATGAAGCTACAGCTTGCCATTCACTTCCAGTTGCCATTGCTTCTTTTTCACATATCTTAGACTTCTATTCCGCCGGGAAATCAATACAAACCTCTGAGGTAGTGATTTTCCGGACATTAATCGAACTTTTATCTCAAGATCGTAACAGCGATTCTGATATCCTTAAAATTGTGAAACGAGCTTATGCCCGAATGTGTGAACTTGGACCAAAAGCCTTTTTTGGGAATGGTGAAGTTGGTAGACGAGAAAGAAATTGGTTTTCTGTGAGTGCTTGGAATTCCGGAGTAAGAACTGGAAAGGAGAAAAAGTATGACTTATGTGCAGAATTCTTCAGGTTGGCGTCAGAATTTTATAGTGTTGTGACTGATGAAGAAACAGAGGGGAACACTGTAATGGTTTGCCAATCACTGATATTGGCTGTATCTTCCATTATTGCTGATGAGAAGTACAAAAATGTTACACTAATGGAGACTGAAGTCAAACAGGCCATTGCAATGCTTGCTAGGGTGCAGAAGGTAATTTAAACTACCCCTGGTCTTAATTGTATTCGTCTAAATCAGATGCATTAAGAAAGTCGGGTGATACTACCCTATCCCAAATTAACCTTCCCACTTTGAATTGTCGCGCTCATTAATAAAGTGGAAATGTATGGTTGTAGTTAAGGTAGAAAAAGGTGAAAGAGTGTTACGGCACATCTCAAAAGTGGTAAGGAAATTATGGGACGGAGGAAGTACTTCATAATGAATCATAACTTATACTACATATTTTTAACCAATCACGCGTACTTAGTAAATCTATTTCCATGTTTAGCAAAATACTTGTATTTAATTCTTTGAATGATAAAACTCAAATGGCGTGAAGGATAAAGTTATAAAACAAAATTTCCCTCTTTGATTTAGGCCTTAGGGTCATGCTAACCACACAACCTTTAGGTCTGTGATTGAACATTAATGAAAAAATAACAGTTTTCATAATTTTCATAAATGAACTAAATCATCAAATAATAAAATCCGAACACAAAATAATACCTCAAGTTACACCATTAAATCATTAATCTTTATAACTTTGAATGTCTCTTGAAAGTTACCTGAAATACTGGAATATTCTACCAGCATTATAGCTTCCATTTACTTAAACCACTCGTGCATTCCATGTTTAGCAATATATTTTTATTTAATTCGTTGGAGGATAAAGTTAAAGTAGAAATACAGTTATATCTATCACAAGTTTACTAAATGGATAGATAAAGAGTACCTCCAAAAGACTTCCATAAATAGAACCAGTGAAAGGTAGTATCATTGAAGAGTAGTAGCGCTATCAACCTGAGTAGTGTTTCTTCTTGGTACAAATCTATCCTTGAATGTCTTCTATTGTGTTTTGATCTGAAGTTGCTAATGTCTGTAAATGCAGATAATTACGTCAACCGTCGGTGAAAATGACAATCTAATAGCAACTATTGGGCACGACTTATTCTTTTCATACACATGGTGTGCTTATGATCTCTATGGGAGGCTGGATGGAATGGGTCCCCAACAGCTTCTCCTAATAAAACAGCTGGCCAGCTCAAAAGGCAGCAATCCAGACCATCTTCTCCAGATAGGCCTCGATGCCGCACAAGGACCACGGTCAAACCACGAAGTAGCATCGTTAGCACTAAATGCGTGCCTCTCTGCCCTCCTGGCTGCCCCACTGCCCGACTACACAACCGTCGCCCTCGTCCTCAGAAAACTAATCTCTCTCGGGACTATCCGGTTAGGCGATACATGTGATGATAGTGTAATGGAATTGTATAAGCAAGCATACAGGATTATGGTGGGGCTGAAGGAAGGGGAATATCCGGTTGAAGAGGCGAAATGGCTGTCTATGACTGCGTGGAACCGGGCAGCTGTCCCGGTGAGGGTGGGGCATATAGATACAGCCAAGAGGTGGATGAGTATGGGGTTGGAGCTAGCTAGGATGGTTCCGGGGATGGAGACTTATAAGTCGTGCATGGAAGAATTTGTTGCAGGCTTTGGAGAGAAAATTGATGGGCAGGGTGAGACTACTAGAAGCAGTGGTTAGTTAGTCAGCTGAGGCTAATTCTGCTTCTGTAAAGATTGATCAATGGATGGTCTAGTATCAATAGGCTGTGGGGCATTCAGGCCCGCCTCAGTATCCTTAGCCTCTGGTTTTGCTAGATTTGAATTAGCATTTAGCACATAGCTAGATGAGTTGGATAGTTTACGCGGTTGATCTAGTTCTTTACCGTTTAATTTAGCTAGACGGTGTGGGAGATATGGGTGTCAGTCAACATTAGGGTTATGAGAATGAGTGGAAACTCGAAAATACAGAATTAGTAGGAAAAGTTGTGAGTTTAACTACACACTGATCCCTGATGAGTGTCTATAATAATAATAATACAATAACCTTAAGGGTACGTTTGGTTGGAGGTAATCTTGTATGCATGTCGGAATCTGATGTTCGGAATCTCTGATACCCGCGTTTGGTTCGCGGGTTTAAAAAAAATTGGGAATGTTACATTCCCAAAAGTGAAGAATGTAATCTCATGCCCAGTAATCTTAAACTCATGGAGCTCTTAGGTTATGTTGGATGCCTGGTTGTTCACAACACTTCTAAAAAATACCCCCCTCATTTAATGAAGAGGAGGTATAATAACCAAGAAATGTACAATAAATGTAAATATGTATTGTAGTAAACTATGTATTATTTACTTTTGGGTTTCAATTAAGTCGAGTTTTGAAAAATTAAGACTCCACTTTATAATCTCTAATTTTAACTTATTCTTCTTATTAGCCAACTTTATTAAACACCTAAGTTTTGATTTTACGTATTAAATTGCAAAAAAATTATTTATTACTCATATTTTAAACAAGTATGATTTAAATTGTTTTTCTTATTTAATTGGTTGAATGATTTAAATTATTTATTAATTACTCGTATTTTAAACAAGTATGATTTAAATTATTTATTACTCTTATTTTAAACAAGTATGATTTAATTGTTTTACGTTATCTAATGTTGCATCGTTTTTCGCAAAATCCCACTATAGGGTTGGGTTTAAAATCTACTTCCTTCGTCCTGTTGAAAGGTTCCCATGAGTAAATGACATAATTTTTTAGGAAAATGATTAAATAAAGTAATTTGAGTAAAAAAGAGAGGAAATAGAAATTGTGAGACATGACATATAATGAGTAGCAAAAAAATTGAGTAAATGTGTAATTAAAGAGACTACGTTATTTCCTAAAATGGAATGAGAACCTTTAAATGGGACGCCTAAATAAGGAAAATGTAAATCTTTCAACATAATGGAGGAAGTATTTTTATAGTTACATTAATTTTAAATATGTTGAAAATACATCCAAATATAAATTACTTCGAATGTAGGTTGTAATAAATTTATTGTGTTATAAGAGAAAATATTTGAAGGACATTGAAGTAATTTATCAAGTTTGCAATATAAGATAACATTCAACCAAACAAATTAATGTCACATTCCTTTAATCTTAACCAAACACAAATGAGATAAAGATTGAACACATTCTCATCAATCTAACATACCCAGTAATATGACATTCTCATGGTAATCTGACATCTCTTGAACCAAACGGACCCTAATGTGTATTTTGAGTTGATGTCTGTTTTGAGCCTTCTTTCCATTAAAAAAATGAGCCTTCTTTCAAATATCAATAGGAGTATCAACAATAACATAATTCATTAATTATTTAAATTCATTTATCACTAAATATTGTGTAAAAAAGTTTTACCATCACCCGAACATTTTGGAAGTAGGTTAAATTAATTAGATGTATTAGTATGTGTTATTTTCTATGAGTCATTCAGAAACAACCTCTCTGTGCTTTAGTACACGAATAAGATTGCGTACATTCGACCCCTTACTCCACCGTAGGTGGGAGACTTTGTGGCACTGGAGTAATGCTGATGATGAGTATGAGTTATTTTACGCTACATTAATCGGAACATTCATTATTGGTGGGTGAGATAAATATTGAGAAAAGCATACAACCTCCGTTTTTAAATAGATGTAACATGTTGAATCTTATACTATACACATGCTCTAGTTTGACTAGATTTATTTATTAATGTATTAGAAATTTAAGTTTTGATCTAAAAATATTGTTAAATTCTTCTCATATTGAATATCAAAATGTAAATTTTTTAGTTTATTAATTATAAGGAATGAAGTATAGCAATAGTCAAAGCCGTGTATTGCAAACGTGAAATTGAGAAAATTGTAACAAAAAAACTGATATTTGTAGATTAAAAATTATCAACGAGTTGAGACTTAGAGTGTATAAATAAGAACTCAATAACACGAGAAGATATGAATATACAAGTATCATATAACTACTACGTATGTTTTAAGGAATGAGTATACTCTTCAATTTTCATTTTAAACAATTACGGAAAGTTAGAATAAATATATAAATTTTTCAAATGCTTTAGGGGTCTCTATGGTATCTGATAGAGTTTGGATCTGATTCATAAAATTGTTTTTACTCCTTCGGGGAGCAGAAGCAGAAGTTGAAGTATTTGGATGAAAGTGCAAAAGTGATTCTGTTGCTCTAATTTGCTCTTAAAATCATTTTCTTTAGAAGCTGAGGAGACCAGCTTCTGAAAAACTGATTCTGATTCTGCTTCTGCTATAAAAAAGAAACAGAATCAGAATCAGTTCCAAACACCCCATAGCAAGGAGTGACTCCGTATTTTCGATGATATATCTTCCAAATTAAAAAGATGTTGTGTTTTAATTTGGAAATGAAATTTAAGAATATACTTTTTTTTCTATGATATACTTATCGAATTTAAAGAGTATATTTGTTTTTTGTCCCTGAAATCAAGTCAACCAAGTCAAGCTAATGCAGTGCACTATTTTGTAGGGGTGGGCAAACCGGTTTACGGTTCGGTTTCGGTTTATTCGGGTTGGGAGAATTTGTACCAAACTAAAACCATTTGTGTTTCGGTTTGGTTTCGGTTCAGTTTAATGTTCGGTTTACAAAAGTAAAAAGTATTAGGTTTAATTTAGTTCAATTTGATTCGTTTGTTATGTTTACTAGTATTCTACCCGTGCGATGCACGGGAAATTATTACATGGAAAAATATACCGCGCAATATAAAAATAAATATTTGGAATTTAAAAATAATACATAAGTTTACTTCAATAACTTTTGATGCATACATTAGAGTTACATGTGTATTAATATCAATAAAAATCAAATATTTGAAATTTAAAAATAATATGCAAGTTTAATAACTTTCGATGCATACGGTAGAGTATCATGTGTAATAATATCAATTTCAATCAAAACAATGTTGCTTAAAAAGTTTGGAATAATAACAATATGAAAACAAAATTTATTACAAATTTCGGAATATTTCCTTAAATACAACGTTTGTTGTTACATTTGTACTTTTTCCATTTGCGTCACATATAGCTATTTTTTAACCCGCAGGGTTAGTGACATGTGAAAGCGTAACATATAACTGACCATAATTGAAAACAAGGTTTTTCAAGACTAATCCAACATTGGACAATGATTGTCCTTGACTCTTATTTACTAGCATAGCATATGAGACAATCAAAGGAAACTGTCTTCTTTCAAACTTGAAATGCAATCTCACATCAGACGGAGTCAAAGACATTCTCGGTATCAAAACCTTCTCACCTTCACTCAACCCTGTCAAAAATTTTGCTTCCAAAATATGCTTACCTAATCTCGTAATAACCATCCTAGTCCCATTACACCGCCCTTGAGAATGATCAATGCTCCTCATTACATCTCTGGTGTTCCAACTTTAAGATGCAGTTCATGATTTGGTATTCCTGAAGCTTTAATTCCATTCAAAAATTCTGGAGTATGGATATCTAATAAAAAGTCGGGATTTGAATCTGATTTACACAGACTATCAGAACTAAGGTAGGTTTTCATCTCAGAACCATTTAAAGAAATCATGTAGTCATTGATGGAATCAACAACTTGGAGAGTGGGTGCCAATATTGCTCTCTTTTCTAAATAACTGGGATCTTCATGAATAACATCAAAGGAAGGATAAATGCATTCAACCATTTTTATACTACCCGTGTGATGCACGGGAAAAATTGTTTTTCATGGAGTGGATTGTTTACATATATTTTTTATATCTAAAAAGTAAAAAAGTGTAATAATTAACTTATTTAACATATTCAAATTATTTACCCTGCATGATTTGAGATTATAAGATTTTTTATTCGCAATTCAATAAATAATCTCCTATCTAATTAGCTTTGTTCCTATCTAAGTCTAATCAAGCCCAATCTAATTTGATCTTATTTGATTTGTTTTAGTCGGATCCAAAACTAAAACCCGTCTTCGTATTGTTTGATCTCCCGTACATGAAATCCTGTTAGGTTATCTAGAGCCCGTTTGGTAGAACGAAAATCGGCTGTTTTGGCCGATTCTGCTGAAATTTCTGAAATTCTGGCTGAAGTGGCTGCTTTGGCCGTTTCTGCTATTTTAAGTAAAAATTATTTTTAAAATATATTTTATTAATAAAATAAATAAAAAATTATATGTAAAAATAGCTAGAATGGTCATCTACAGTAACTTCAGCCAATACAGGCAGAAAAGTAACTCAAACCTTACTTTTTATGCTTTTTTTATTCATATTATTAAATAGATTTAGATCAAGTTCTTATATTTTAGAATTAGAAAATGAAAGTAATAGTCCATCTCATTTTCTTTTATTGCTTAATTAAATAAAATGTAAAAGGAAATAAACGATAGAAAAAAATATTTTGAATTAAAACGTCTAACATCTTTTTTATCACTAGAAAAAGATTCACTTCTCACAAAAAATATTATTATACGGAGTAGTTTATTAGCATTTATAATACGGAGTATCACATAAATATTCAAAAAAAAAAATAAAGGAGTCATGTAAAAAATATAAATGCGATCTACTATTTTATCGCCAAACTTAAGAGATACAAATATGTCGTATTAGCTAGTTTTGTCATAATAAATGTATAAAATGTGTAAAAGTTAAAATGATACGGAGTACGGAGTATATGTTAAATACGATAGTATGTATTTTTCATATCTAAATTATTTATTTATATCTTAAAAATGAAGAGTGAAGATAAATACAAAGTGTGTGTGTATAAATTGTTCGGTGTTCGATTCGGTTTACGGTTTTTCGGTTTTAAACCAAACCAAAGCATTCGGTTTGAGCGAATTCTTACCAAACGATTTACTATTTTGTATGGCATGTTGTATCATCCAAGTGCATAAGAGATAGGATAATAAAATGAAAGACCAATGAAAGAGTGACACGTACGACACACCACCGCAAGAACCACAAATTTCAGAAGAACTGCTGCCCAGTCATCACAAATTACACAAAAATCTTCTCTCTTCTTCTTCTTCTTTCTGGTTGTTTTTGGGTTAATCCCCAATTATCTGCTAAGGATGGCAGCAGTTGCTACAGCAATGGCCAGCCAGATCAAGACCAGATTGCCTTCTTCTCTGGCCAAATCCTTTGTTAATCCAAAGGGCATTTCTGGAACCCCATTCAAAGTTTTTCCTTCAAGAAGAAACCCTTGCCTCGTTGTCAAGGCTGTTCAGACTGATAAGGTAACATACAATATCACTTTTGCTTTACCATTCAAATTTTAAGTTCATCTTTAATAGCATCGGAAATATAGCAACCTTCATCAGTTAATTTCTCTGTTTTAATTTGCATTATTAAATCTTATGTTAGAAAAATGAAATTGTTTAGATTTATGTAGAAAGTAGAAGGCATATTATCCACGTGTTTTCCTCAAAAGAAAACGATTTAATACATACGTAGTATTTATTTTATACTTGGGTTTAATTTAGTTTAGATATTTATATAATTAGTAATACTACATGATTAATTCGGTTTATAATTATAGTCTGTATATGCTACTAGCTAGCCTTCCCTAAAGAAGGATTCACTTCTTGAATTGAGTGCTTATCATGACTGATGACTGATGACATTGTGATATGTGAAATGTGAAATTGTGAGATTAGATTTATTCAAGTGTCACGGGGGATGGGGACTGGGGGCTGGGTTGGACTGGTGGAGTTGGGGCAGGGCAGAGTTGGTTGGGGATGTGGCAGGGCTCTGTGTTAGTGGTGGAAGAGTGGGCAATGATGGTCACAACCCGGGTGGGGTTTGGTCACTATTAGGGTGGTAGTTGTCACCGGAGTCATTATGGGCGTCGGTGACTGGTTGGGGTGAGATTAGGTTTATTCAAGTGTCACTGGGGATGGGGACTGGGGGCTGGGTTGGACTGGTGGAGTTGGGGCAGGGCAGAGTTGGTTGGGGATGTGGCAGGGCTCTGTGTTAGTGGTGGAAGAGTGGGCAATGATGGTCACAACCCGGGTGGGGTTTGGTCACTATTAGGGTGGTAGTTGTCACCGGAGTCATTATGGGCGTCGGTGACTGGTTGGGGTGGTGGCAAAAATGGTGACTAGGCAGGGCGCTGACGATGACAACGACTAGCCAGGATGGCGGTAGTGGCGGTAATTGATCGAGGTGGAGAAGGCGACTGAAAATTAGGTCACTAAATTATAACTACTTAGCGAATGTCATTGCCAAGATGGTCACTCTGACCTGCGGTGGTCACTACTCACTAGTTCATTGGTCAGTGAGGTGTTGATCAGTTACGCCGTTGAGACAATTGATCATTGTAGAGTTGATCATTATAGATAGTAGGTTTAATAAGGCCGCAATGACTTCTTTAGCCCTTTTAATCACATTTTTGGAAATTAGAAAAATCTTTTTATTCATTCTTTATTTTTTATTAATATTCATATCAAAACCTGTTTATAGTTTTATACTACTCTGCTTTTTCGGTTTACAAAAAAAATAAAGAATGAATTTGACTTAGCAACTTATGTTTTGAGTGATATTTGACTTTGTATTATATTTTTAAAATCATAAATGTATGCATCTGAATTCATTAGAAAATCATTTGATTTTTCACCTGACTCCTTCACAATTTTTAGCTGATAAGTGCATAGATTAACGAATTTAAAATTGAAGTGTAAAGTCAAATATAAACCAAAACACAGGCAAAGTCAAATAATATCTAAAACAAATATGAGTAGTACCATCATTTTTGTTTAAAATGAAATGAATTCCTACCAGAAGAATAGTTGTGATTTGGTTGCATTCTGTAGCCGACTTATCAAGTGATCCAACCATTGAACGGAGACCCATTCATCGGAAGCTTAGAAACGCCGATAACATCAAGCCCACTCGTCGCTTGGTACCTCTCCAACCTGCCGGCCTACAGAACCGCCGTGAACCCACTTCTGCGGGGAGTCGAAGTAGGCCTGGCCCACGGGTTCCTGCTGGTCGGCCCATTCGTGAAGACCGGCCCACTGAGGAACACAGAGATCGCCGGAGCTGCAGGGTCTTTGGCAGCCGGAGGCCTGGTCGTCATCCTCAGCATCTGCTTGACAATGTACGGAATGGCGTCGTTCAAGGAGGGAGAGCCACCGCTGGCGCCGTCGTTGACGTTGACTGGCAGGCAGAAGCAGCCTGATCAGCTGCAGACGGCGGACGGATGGGCCAAGTTCTCCGGCGGGTTTTTCTTCGGCGGAATTTCCGGCGTGATCTGGGCTTACTTCTTGCTCTACGTCCTCGACCTCCCATACTATGTTAAGTAGATTGGTTTTGATTATGTGTATTGGTCTGTTTCTGGATGTAAGATATGAAACCAGAGATTGTTTTGTATGGATATATATGTATTGCAATGGAGGATGGACTGAACTAAAATCTACACTTCCTAAGTGAATGGTTTGATGCTCTTTTTTTAAAGTAAAATCGCTGCAATGCAATACCATTAATCTAAACAGGCGTTAACCAAAAAGCTACTAATACAATTTGGTGGCTCACTGCAAGTCTGCAAATAAAAGGACAGCTTTGCATAAATACTTTTGCTCTAAATATGATATGAGCAACACGATTCGCTATCCGTTTAGAATGGATAAACTCAACGCGATTCGCTATTCCTAATTGTAAAAATTCTCCCTCTCCATCACGGGCTACCTAGCTCAATGTGTAACACCCCTTTCCAGATCGATTAACAGTTGCATCAATGTTGATCTTAATAATCCTTCTGATGGCTTTTGCCATCTACTCGTAGTAGGCCTGGACTCGGGCCGGGCGGCCCGACCCGGAACCGGCCCGGCCCGGCCACTGTAGCAACCGGCCTAGCCCGGTGGCCCGGTCCACCGGCGGTTCGGGTCGAACCGGCCCGGTGGTTCCCGGTCCCGGGCCCGGGCCTTCCAAATGGTGAACCGGCCCGGCCGGTTCGGGCCCGGTCCGGGCCGGATTTTAATTTTTTTTTTTTTTTTTTTGAAATTTTTTTAAAGTTTTGGGTTGGAATAGGTATTTTGGGCCATTTGAGGTGGTTTGGGGTGGTTTGGGGTTGAGGGGGAGGGGTAGGGGATTAAATAGGAGAACAAAAAAAAAAATAAGTGGGCCGGTTCGGCCCGGCCCGGTTTGGCCCGGAACCGGGACCGAAACTGGCCACCGGCGGTTCGGGCCCGGGCCTCCCATTTCCTGGCCCGAGGCCCGGCCGGGCCCAGGCCCGAACCGGGCCCGAACCGGCCCGAGTCCAGGCCTAACTCGTAGACTCCTTAATCTTCTCCGCTAAATTGCCCCATCTTTGTTGAGGGCCAACTCTTTAACAAGGCAGCCCCGCCCACAATTACTCCTCCGCTAGTGAAAAATTCATTTTTCCAAACAAGATTATTCCAATTGTAAAGTTGCAAGGCGCCAAAGGTGATGATGGTGTCCGAACAGGTAAGGGTGGCACTGAAGAAGACTATGGCAGTGTATGATTTCTAGTGGTGCTGAAATGGTGGCAGCGTCAGAAATTGGTGTCTGCGACGGCGATGGTCGCGCGAGAGGGCTATCCACTTTCTGTCTAAGATTTTTATATTAATAATTTATTTTATATTTTTAATAAAGAAATTGTGCTTTTTAGAGGATGTAATTTCGTAAACTCATGCTTTTTTTGTTTCTATGTAATTACACAAAAACATTGAAATCATACACTTGTACTTTTGTATGTGTTACTTCTAATTACAATGATGATGATCATATGCAATGGTATCGAAGTGCATGGAAGGCCTTCTACGTTCTAATGCATGGAGAGTTTAAAATGTCATAGCTCCAAATGAATCTTCTGATTCTTCTCCCAACTCATATACAACGTTTAACCGTTAACGCCCATATACAAGGCCATATTAAACTATATATTAAAATGTATTGAATGTGTAGTTGTGTTAATCATAAGAATTATGTTTCAATTATTATGGGCAATTTGTCGATATGAAACATTAGGATAAGTTTTTTATTGTTGAATATAATTATTATACTCGTACTACGCAATTTGCTATACTCCAAAACTGCGTATGAAGAGATCAAACAAAAGACCAGACATGCCAAGTTAGACACCAAGGTTGGATGTGACTGCAAATGTCACATGTATTGTCAAAGAACAAAATTTGATAAATTTATAAAAAATCAGAAAAAAAAAAAAAAAAAGGGAAATGTGGAAGCGTATACTGACAAACTGAAATCAAGTGAGTAATTCATTTCTTTCCCTTCACTCCCTCTCATTATTCGCACCCAGTTTAACCCTAGCCCCACTCTACACATCTCAAATCTCAATGTGTTAATTTAAAAAAAAAAAAAACTCTTCACAATTAGTGTGAACAATTAGTGTGATAGCTGGTTGGTGCATTACATGATACTCCTTGTTCCTAAACAATCTTCCAAAGTGATTTTTGCACGACAATTAATAAAGTGAGAATTGTTTAATGCATAATTATACATAGGAGAGAGAAACGTGTAAAATGTGTGAGAAATAGTGTGAAACACGATTTCTTTCCCAAAAAGAGAAAGTGAGGATTACTTGAGACAGAAAAAAGAAAGTTGGAAGATAATTTAGGAACAAATAGAGAGTAGTTATAATCAAGAGAGGATTTACGTGAAGACTATAGTGAGTTGTAGTTTAGGGTAACATAATTTTTATAGTGATCAAATTAAACAAATCAATTCCAACTTAAGTTACCCCTCCGTCCCGTTTCACACGTTTAATTTTTTATTTGCAAGTTATCTCAAAATAAGTGTCACATTTCCTTTTTCGAAAGAAATAGGTGACCCACAATTTTCACTTCATTATACTCCTATGCCACAACTTTTACTTTTTCAACCATTTTATTAACAATTGTGTCAAACTAAAAGAAGACATATAAAATGGAAAGGAGGTAGTAGTAAAATTTACATATAGTAGACATTTATTTCATCTCTAACTTATACAAACTAGAAAAGATTAGCCCATAAAAACCTATTGGAGTATCCAACTAAAAGTATTGACACATTTTTTAATTAGAACCCGTTTGGTAACACTAAAATTGGTTGAATTGGCTGATTCTGCTGAAATTTATGAAGTTCTGGCTGAAGTGGCTGTATTGGCTGATTCTACTAATTCATGAAAAAATTATATTTAAAATATTTGTTATTAATAAATTAAATAAAAAATTATATGAAAAAATAGCTAAAATGATCTTCTATAGTAACTTCAACCAATATAGCCAGAAAAGTAATTCTAACCTTACTTTTTCTGCTTATTACAAAATTCAGCGCGCGAAATCAAAAGTTACGTGTTTGGTGAAAAAGCTGGTTGATAAGTCTGATAAACCAAAAAAAGGGTCACCAAACGGGCTCATCTTTATGGACTTTTTTGGAAATGGAAACTTTTGATGTCACACGGAATTTGTTTTCCCCTCTAGATGACACTAGTGGTATATTACCTTGTACTATAGAAAGTATAATAAAAACAATAAAAGTGTAATACAAAGTTTTACCACTCCATACTACTTACGGAGTATGTCAAAGGCGAGTGTTAGGATGTTTTTACTTGGATTGTTTACCGTCTCAGACTAGATCAAATCAGATTTAAACAGATTGAACCAGACCAAACTTAAACAGACTAGATCATACTTTCATAGTTATAAAATACACAGAGACCATACACTTACCATATCAGACCAGACCAAACCAATTCAGATCAGACCAGACCAACCAAATATAATCCAAGTAAAAACATCCTTATTACACAAACCAGACGATTGATCTATATTTCTCATCAACATCACATGCACACACAAACTTTTTAGATGAGTTCGTGAATAGAACTACAAAACAAAAACAATACGGAAAACTATTTTGTGGATTGATTTGGTTCAGTTTGGTTCGGTTTGGTTCGATTTTGAATTTGTTATTTTTTGATACGAGTAATATACTATCGTACGAAGGTCTTTTTGAATTTCTTTAGTTCGATTTGAATTTGTTCAATTTTGAGCGGTTTCGATTTGGTTCGATTTAATACAATTTGGAAGAAATTCTATCAAACTCAAACCAAATTGGGTTCGATTTGTATTCGATTTAATTCATACGATAGTACTACCTCCGTCCCTAAATGTTCTTCCGATGTAAAGTGGCACGCGGATTAAGAAAGTGAGAATTGAGTAGTGGAGAATTGTGCAGAGGAGAGAAATGTCGTGAACCACAAATTTTTTACCGAAAAGAGAAAATGAAGTTCTTTTTTGAACGAACAAAAAAGGAAAGTTGAAAGTAAATTTAGGGAGGGAGATCACAGAGTATGATTTTCCACGGGTATCCCAGCGTTCACATTTCTAAAATACTCGCGTGTGGGATCTTAGACCCGAAGTTCTTTTCAAGTATGACTGACGTATTACTCGTCGCCTTCTGTAGTTGTGTACACGCTATCTCTCGTCCTCCATAACTTAATACTCCCATTATTTGAAAAATCATAATCTCCTATCCATAAATAACCAAAACAGGCTGGTTTTGTAGCTCAAATCGCCATAGCTGGTCAAAGAAGTCAAGCTCAAGCTCACAATTAAGAATCCATCTTATGCATACTGGTGCTACTCACTAATCACTATGGAACGGTAATCCTCACTTCCACTTCTGCATTCATTATTATCATTACATCAATTCCTTATTCCTAGTTGCTTCTTCTTATTTACCAAATGTTGAAGATCATTTGTGCAATTCCTTCTGTAATGTGAGCTTTAGGATGAAATTGCTCGATAATTTTGGCAGATCTGATACGTGCAACGGAGAATACTTCTCGCCACGACCGCCGAGGAGAAATTCCACCTCGACGCCGCAGTCGGAATCCGCCTCCACCACAAGCGTCCACGTGACGGCGCTAGACGGCCTGGTCAACGTGAACTCTCTGTTCACGGTCGCCGTGTTCGTGGGACTGTCAATGACGGTTCCCGGGCAGAGGAGCCTGGAGGAGAGGACGGCCTGCGACGCCGGGATCGACGTCGTGAAGAAGCTTCTAGTGTTCGAAGTGATATCGTTCAGCTTCTTCCTGTTCTCGTCCCTAGTGGCCCAAGGGCTGAAGCTGGCGATTAATCTGCTGAACAGCAAGGACGTGGATGAGGCCTTCAAGGCCCATGTGAATTCGAAGGTGTTGAGGCTGGGGATGTTGGGCTCGGCTGCTGGGTCGGTGATGGGCTGCTTGTTCCTGATGCTTTCGATGGTGGATGTGATCCAGATCAGGCTGGGGATGTTGACTTGCGGGAGTAGATCGACGGTTCACGCTGTTTCGACTCTGGTGATTCTGGTCACTTCTGCTCTTCTTCTCTACATTTCCACTGTTGTCTATGCTTTCCTCCAATGAATTCTTGTCCGCCGATATGTTGTTTGAATAGTCAACTTTTTTTTATTTTCGTCCTTTTCAAATTCAATATAATGTTGGGAAATTTTTCAATTTATTTTTTGTCATTTTATATTATATTCGTCCTACTA